CACCAGAGGAAGTCCCAAATCCTGCTGGTGTATGAATCTGGACGCACGTTAGGCGAAAGCCTGTTTTCGTCCTAGAAACCTGACTTGACTTGACTTGACTTATATGATAATAGAGGGAGATCTATTTCCCCAGGAAGAATACCTGGAATGAGATAAAAACGAAGGGTAGGGCGCGATATCTGCATGCAGTGCAACACATCAGAAGGCTTAAGAAAAAGTTGTCCAGTATGAGCAACACAACAGAAGAGAGAGGTGGTTGTCGTTCAGAAATTAAATCAATATAGTTTGATTAAGCATTTTGTGGGGCCATTGATTATTTCTTGTGGGAGGGGCTCTTCAACACAGGGATGACCCTGTACGTGAAGCTGCACTGCCGGACTGGGGTACGGGAGTGCGGCTTGAAGAGCCTAACGCGGTGATTACGAAGATTATCCCGGTAGAATTGAAGAGGTGGTACAGTAGGAAGATGACCCTCTTAACCGACGAGTTTCAATGCAGTTTGGGTATCGAAGGAAATCACCTATCAGATAAGTGGTGGTTGACAGTCCATGTGCGAGCTTTGTTGGTCTGTTGTACATGCTGTAGAGTGGTGAAATCGCTGGGCCTGAGCAATTCTATTGCCATATTTCAAAATTATTCTGATATAAGCGCTGTAAAGAATATGAAAGTCATCTCCTTTTAATCTGGGGCAAGAGCGTTTTGGTGGATTGAGGAAACGGATTCACTGCTTTTTTGTGATAAGTGTGAGAGTAACCTCGTCGGCCAGAAACCAAGAATCTTATGATGTTCTACGCTCTCCAATATCAATTAAGGGATGTCCTTGAGAGTTTTTCCAGGTACCCCTCTGTTACGGCAGCCCTTTTGGAACTGTCTTACACGCGAATCGTTCAACGGAACAACTTCGTGGTCCTGAAATTTGTAGTTTCTTTATCGCAAACCCCACGATTAACTAAAACGTCCAACAATAATAGAACACAACGAACACCGATCAATAATGGAATCACGTATAATACGGTATCTGAAAGTGTACAATGATACAATAAATTTCGTACACATACTTGACCGTGATCCTCAGTAAGTGGACCGTACAATGATAGACGAACAAGTGAAGTGATAATGCTAAACCGAGCGGAATCAAACGAGAATCGAAACCGTTATGTTTTACAAGAATAATAATAAACGGTACAGATAAACAAAAGAGAGAAGTGAGAATGTGACTCACAAAAACCTATCTGAGTCATCAAAATGTTGTTTTCATCGTCATCTACGGTGCTCCATTCTTCTTGACATCTTCCGAAACCACATGCTGACGCCTTTTTCAACGTTAGGCGGAAAGATCCCAATCCGTAGATCAACATGTAACCCCATGCATGGCTGATTGAACAGCTTGGGGATCAGTGCCTCAAACGGTCCCATCGTCAGCATACATTGCGTACATTGACTTCTGTTCTATTTGCTGCAGGGCAGGAGAGGACAGGCAGTACACAGGATGGGTGGCTCGAGACAGTATGGNACAGTATGGTAGTCATGGTTCTTGCAACCGCGTGTCACGATTTTTCCGAAGCTCTTCGAACAGTTTGTTAGTCGTTCCTTGGTGGTATCGGAGCACTGTCGCGAAGCAGGGACGCCAGTCCAGTTTGTTATCGATGAAAGTAGCACCAGCTGATTAGCAACAGGTTAACCCAGGACGTTTGAATACCCCCCACCAAACGGCAAAGTACCCCCGGGCATGCAAGGCTAAGATAATTGTGTATTGTGTATAACTTTTGAAAGCACTGGAGCTCACATTCAAGAGTAAGCTGATCTAGGGAGAATGGGAGTAGGCTGTTATAGGGGGGATAACTAAAATGATTTATAGTAGATGAGTAGGTGGGAAGAATAGCTAATGTGGATGAAGTAGGGGATGGAGGGAGGGGATAGGAAGGATGCAGATGTAAACTGCCATGAAGGACTGACTGAATTTTTCCGTTAGACTGAGTCGAGGGAAGTTAGTTTCTACGCCTCGTCAAGCCTTGCTCTGAAGAGGTCGAGCGGGCACGCCGAGACAACCTCATCCGGTAGTCCTTTGGTGGATATTAGAACCTGTCACTAATATTTGCTCATGCTCTTTCTTGATGTCCGTCCCAAGAGGAAATAGAACCAAGGTTTGGGATTATAGAAACGTTGTACTCTGCAACTTCCGAATGAATGGAAGTGAGTTTCTCTAGCTTAGGCTGTCATTTTAGCAAAGGCAGCGGAAATCTAAAAGTAGATATGATCAGTACGATACCCAGCTCACAAAGGGGAAATGTGTCGGTGTGGTCTGTTCGAGCTCATTAAAAGAATGATAATAGTTAAAGCAAAAATGAATTCTGTAAATGTCCACGTTGTTATATCTAGTGAAGAAAAGTTCCGTGGAAGATCATTATCCACCGCTAAATGATGGCGATACCTGCTAAATCTCGACGGTACACTTGATTGTGTCCCGTGGAGAAGGGTACTTATGTTAGAAGGAAATGCTTAATGGTGGCCTGGCTTTCGCAATCATTTTACGCGTTGAGGGACTAGGTTGCTACTTGATATATGAACCTTGATGGTTCTGATAAGCATGCTATGGTTAGGTTACCATGTTCTGTTCTGTCTTCAGTCACACAAGACTGGTTGGAAACTGAACCTGCTTTGCTGCTAGTCACACCAGCGTGGGGCGAAGGTGCTTCTGGTTCGTGATTTGACGATCACGTCCAGCTTGAATGGGTTTACCAGGAAACCTAGAGAAAGGCAAGAGGAAAGAAAAGAGAATTGTCTTTGCGAAACTGTCGGTTGAAGAACTGCTACGGTCTCTTCCAAGCTTCAATCACTATATGACCAGTTTCAGCTGGTGTCACTTACGGCTGGGTTTTCGCGGATAGAGAAAAGTTGCCTGCTCGGTTGTGAAAGTCTCTTTAGTATGTTGAAGGCTCCTATTACGTCTCCTCTCATTCTCCTACATGAGCTAGGTATTGCTGCTCATCTCTTATCACAGGTTCAGAATCCATAACACAACTAATCTGCAAGTCGAAAAGCAGCGGTAACCAGGAGCTCACAGATGTGAAGATCTAGACATACCCTCGTTCGAACTACTGGCCTGGGATCTGGCATCACCCGAAGTGTTACTGTGACTAGGTTAAATAATTATTTTGAATCGTTACTGGTTGATACCGATCAGAAAATATTCAGGACAAAATTAATAATATAAGAATCTAAAATATCATTGACGCTTGATTGTGTTCTAGTTTCGTTTAAGTGCATTGTTTGAATGTGCTCCGACTGACAACACCGAAGGGTGAACATGGCGGATTCTAATAGATTCCGAGCGGATTTCCTTATCAATGATAGGTATCGGTTGATGCGGAAAATAGGTGCGGGGTCCTTCGGGGACATTTATCTAGGTGTTAATCACCTTACGGGAGAGGTAAGTTACTTTTTAACGCCAATTCACGTACACCAGTGATGTCCACTATCTGATCTTACAATAAACGCCGTCAGCTGTTGAAGGGAAAATGCCATTTTTTTCGCTAGCATTTGTGTACTGGTTGTTTCAGTCTAATAGGAAGCAGCGCAGAATTGTGTCGTTCGGTACGCCCAGTTATGATGACTTTGTAGTCAGCTGATGGTTACGGTTCTGAGTAGTACGAAGTTGAAAATTTGTTTACTTATTCAGTTCGTGCTTCCCTTTTTGAGAACTGTCAATCTAGAGGCGATCATCCTCGGCTCCTAAAGGAGAGACGTTCAATATGGTTGCATTCCTTATTAATCAGGAAATAAGGTTTCTTAGCATTTCACTTGTCAGGATTGATTTCATACAGGCCCTAAAATGTCAGCTGCTTGCACTGCAAAACACTCCATCAATTAAGTTAGCCGATGTAGCATATAAACCTATCCGGGTGACGTTTGGTATTAGCTTCATTGCCCATGCTGTCGAGGGTAGTGTACTGAAACCTTTTAGTCTTATATGCAATCGTCACCAGAATTTACAGTAATTTGTATTTCATGTGACCTCTTATGAAGTGCTAGGTAAAGACGACGAAATTCCTAACTTTTTTCCTTCAAAATGTTTGATTTGTTATCCTCAATGATTATTTCGGGGTTTATCAGTTCATAGGTGTTTCGCCCCCCACAGAAAGTTGGCTCTACATGGGTTATGTAGTTGGTATCTTTCGATTTATTTAGCACAAGCAATGAAAGCCATTGTCAAGTGGGCTTGGCAACTACCCAACAGTTGAAAGTGGTCCCCACTAAGAAAGTAGAGTAGGATACGAAGCTCCACGCAGCAGGTGAATTCAGCCCCGTATAAGGAAAGTGGGTAGACTTCAAGTAGCGCCTAATCTGGACTGGTATTTTATTACAAGTAGGTGTGATGAACAACAGACGGGGCCAACCGCATCATCACGAAAACCTGCTGTTCAGTGGTGGAAACCGGCAACCTAAGCCACGTTTTGGAGTGGCGAATCACATAGGGCCCCAATAGGT